ATATTCCTGGGGAGGCCAGATTCTAGGGTCCCCTGGACGTGGATGTCGGGTGTCTGTGTCAGAGCTGAAGAGGAGAGAGAAACAGACCCAGGCCCTGGATGGGGGGCCCCGAGTGTGCCCCTCAGAGCTGTCTCTGCCCCAGGCCAGCCGCAGCGGCCTGTCCTCCTAGGTCCCCTTGGGCCCCTCCCAGGATGAGAAGACAGGGGGTCCCCTCCCAGCCCTGCCCTGGGGGCCCTCAGGGCCCCTGTGTCTGTGTGTCCTCTTCTTGACACCATCCTTACCTGTTACATGCAGGCGGAGCTTGTTCTCTAAATAATTATATTTCACAAAAGGCCCTCTCTCCACCCTAAAGAAGTATGTCCCCGTGTCTCCCTGCCGTGCATCTCTGATGTCCAGGGAGCAGCTGTAGGTCCAGGGGTCTCCAAGGAGGTGGAATCGGCCCTGGGTGTCCGTCAGCACCCCACGACCTGGGTCGTTTGTGGCCACTAGACGATCCTGGTCGGTTCTGGCCCCTTCCTGGAACCAGTAGCCGAAAGATGGGACAGAGTCGTCCCAGTAGACCCAGGGATGGTGGAAGAAGCAGGGCACGCGGACACACAGGCCCTCCTGCACCGTCACGGACTCCTGCACTTCCAGCCGGTATTCTCTGTCCTGAGCCAGGGACCCTGCGGGGAAACGAGGGTCAGCCACAGCCCCTGCCCTGCCCAGCCCTCTCCCCGCAGCCCACCCACCTGCCCACAGCAGGGACAGCAGCAGCGGCAGCATCTCTGAGACGGAGGGCTTCTGGGCGTCCTGTGTGTGAAAAGAGAAGGGGAAGGAGAGAGGGAGGTAAGGCTGCGGGGAGACCCACGGGAAGCCGGGGAGGAACACGAGACCCAGGTGTTCACAGAAGAGGAACTGCAGAGCCAGAGCTCGGCCCCCCTCCGTACAGAGCGGACGGACACCCCTCAGTCCAGAGACCCCGGAGACCTGCCCTGAGAGGAGCAGGCAAGGAGGAGAGCCCTGCCCTGCCCCCCATCTCGG